TATTCAGTGTTATTTGGCATTTCTTTGTAATTATATGTGAAATTTCGTGTTTAAATCAGTGTAACGTGCCGTTTCTTTGTAAATGTGATTATAAATTTTGCTCTTTATGTCAATGTTTCATGAGGTTTTCTGAATTATCCTGATATCTTACAGGGGAACCACGAGTACCAGTCAATCCTGGAGGTCCAAGAGCACCAGGCTCTCCCTAAAACACAATCAAATACAAAGCTGGTTTACTATAATTCGTTTAGTGACAACAGTAATTAATGTAATTAAATGCTACGTAAAAGAGGGTTCACAAAACATCTTTATTTCAAAACATGGTTTACTATAGACAAAGCATAAAAATCTTTCAATGCTAATGATCTGATCTTTTTACCTTCTCACCAGGAGCACCAGAAGGTCCAGAAGATCCAATAGGGCCAGTCATTCCACGCAGACCATCCTTACCAGGAGCTCCATCAGGGCCCTTGGGTCCACCATCACCCTAAAGAGGGACGACAGCTGTTGTGAACATACAGCAGGATAGGACATCACCAGCACTACTTAAAAAACAAAAAGGTCACTTTCACAATCACTTTCATGATTGTTTCTTAACATACTCATATACACTTTTTACAAAGCATACTTTGTAATAATGTCAAATGTAATGTAAAAGTTTTAATTTACAGAACATTTTAAATCCTTTTTTAATAATCATTTGTCATGCTTAAAGTATACGTTTATTTTGATGTGTTGACTAACATACTTAAGCAAATGTAAAATGCTTTATTTTATATGAAATAAAGCATACTCTATATTTTTTAATAAAGTAGTGTTATTATAATAAACTGCAGTGTTATTTAAAATGACATTTAAAGTGAATATATTTGAAATGTTCTAATTTGCAAATGTGTAACTACAAATATATTTATATACATAACATACAGGTTTCAATAGAAATTATATTAAAGTATATTTTAGTTTACCATAAAAGCTTGTCAGTGCATTCAGCAGTACTTTAACCATATTATAAAGACAATAGAAGTAATTATGAATTTACATATTAAGATGTATTTAAGTCCTACTTAAGTGTGTCAAAAAAGCAACTTACTCCATTTAATATAAATTAAACTATAATAGATTTGACTTAATTGTAAATAACATGCAATTAAGTGTCTGAAAACATTACATTCAGTTCACGCTTATATATTCTCCGTAACAAGTACTCTTTTTCTAAGTCTTTTTCACAAGGGTGTGCTTGCTTGGAAAACGAGGTTGTTAAAAAAACTTTTAATGGCAGAATTTGAAATTATTCGGTCACAATGCTTTAAATGCAAGTCTAATTCTGTATTGTTCTGAGTCTTACTCTGTCTCCTCTGCTTCCAGGCATGCCGCCAGCGCCGCGCTCTCCAGGCATACCCTGCATTCCAGCGGGACCAACACCACCAGGGGCTCCAGCGGCACCAGGCTCTCCCTAAACACACATAAACACGGAGTTTGATTATTTCTCAAATCACACTATTTTGAGTCATAATGATATCGAAGAAAGGATTCTTACCTTAGCACCATCATTACCAGTAGAACCAGGAGCTCCACGAGATCCGGTAGGGCCAGCAGGTCCAGTACTACCACGCTCACCTGGGAAACCTCTGTCACCCTGTGTGAGACATTTACAAATATCATTCAGCTGTATTTCATCCCAACTGACTAACAGAATCTGTACAGCAATAAGGTAAGCAGGAAGAGGAAAAGCCACCATACTGAAAAAAAGAATATTATCAATATATTGTTACAGATTTTTTTATTAAATTACATTTTATTTTATTTTATTTAACTTAACAACTTAACTTAACTTAACTTAATTTAATTTAATTTAATTTAACTTAACTTAACTTAACTTAACTTAACTTAACTTAACTTAATTTAATTTAATTTAATTTAATTTAATTTAATTTAATTTAACTTAACTTAACTTAACTTAACTTAACTTAACTTAACTTAACTTAACTTAACTTAACATTTTCCAAGCAATGGTTAGGTCAACATCAAGATAAAATTCTTGCAAATCGTGTTAAGAATAAGAAATGGGGTAAATTTGGTGGTAAACCTCTAAGATCATATTGAGCAATTAATTTATTGCCTGAATTGTGTAATTTTCACTTTAAAAAAACAAAAACAAATGACTTTAATAAATAAACCAACCCCCCCCCATTTTTATTTTCTTGAATTATTTGGAAAACTAATTTGGAGTAATTTTTGACTTAAAAATATACAGATTTTTGCATGTATTTTATCAGTATATGCATTAAAAAATGTATGACAGGTGTGTTTGAAATAAGACCAAGTTGATAGAAGACTAAAAAGGGTTTTGGTTAATTTTTTTAAAATTGCAAATTATACAAATCATGCAATAATTTGATTGCTTAATATGATCTTGTAATTTTCCTAAAAAAAAAATTGTATTCTTGAAACAAGATTTGCAAGAATTTTATCTTGATATTGACCAGACCATAACTATGCTTGGAACATGAAAAAAAAAGGATATTAAAATTAAAATATAATTCATAAATTTATTTTTAAATATAAAAATAAAAGATATTAAGATGCAATTTTGCTTATTTTGCTCCCAGGACATTTTTACTATAAAACAACACAATGATACTGATGGAATTTTGTTTTTGTTTTGTTTTTTGCTGCAGTATAAGCATTATAGTCTAAAAACAAACAATAAGATTATTCTTAATGGGTGCAGTGTAGCTTGGGTGGCTTTTAAGGATTGATTGAGATGTGGCACATCTGTGGGCTTTTTTTTATAAGGCAGGAGATACTCACTCTTGCACCAGATGGACCATGAGGACCAGCTTCACCAGGAACACCCTGTGGAACAGAGAACATAATAAATAACACTGAACGAAAAACTGCACTGTGATTTTGTAAAATATAAAGTAGTAAGGGCAATTTTACATAACATACTGTATGTCATATTGTGTTTACAATATGTTTGTTTACTTGTAGACAGAACACATAATAGAAAAAACACAATTCCTTGAGTTAACACAGTTATTTCCAATGACCACACGTACCTGGTCACCAGGTTTGCCAGTCTCACCAGTGGCACCCTGTGTACCTGGCAGACCCT